TATGCCCCTTTAGGACGTCTGAAATTACTCGCACCCAGCGGCCATGTATCATAATCTTTAATATTGTCCTAACATGGTCAGTATCTGTAAATTATTAAAATGATCGATTATAATCTACAAAAAATAGATTAAAGTCATAAAACTTTTGTCAATATTGAGTTTATGCCGAGTTGGCTCACACATAGAGTCATTTCAAATAAAGCATACGGTCTGAATCATCACGCCGGATAGAATCGTGCAACTTCTCAGTCTAATACCGATCATAATCTTACTCTTACAGCTCCTAGTCTCAATAGATCTAGAGTATAGCGGTATTTGCGAGGTGCGAGGTTAGATATCGAGAACTGTTCTGGAGAAGAACGACTGTTGGCTAAGTTATAATTGTTCTGTTCTGTTGCAGAAATTATTCATAATTTCAGCAACAGAAACGAATTTAAAAATTAGCAGACAGTGTCGTTCTTCTCCAGAACAGTTCTCGATATCTAACCTCGCAGATACCAGTATATTCTAGATCTATTGAGACTAGGATGTTGAAGAGTAAGAGTGAGATCGGTCTTAGACTGAGAAGTTGCACGAATCGATCCGGCGTGACGATTCAGACAGTATACCTTATCTGAAATTACTTCATTAGTGAGCCACCCCGGACAAAATTCAATATTACCAAAAATATTATGACACCAAAACTTTTTTAATAGACTACAATCGATCATTCTAATTTTTTATGGATACTGACCTTGTTAATACAAAATTATAGAATATGATCCATGGGCGCTCGATGCGGGTAGTTTCAGACGTCATAAAGGGGCATATAATTGCCTCAATGAAATGAATCAGATCATTTTTTCTTCTTCTGTTCGCGCTTCTTTACATTCACAAATTCTTTTTCGTTATACGAGGCCACGCGCTCTTTTACAACCACAGGTTGCAGTTTCTTGTTTTTATAAGCAAGAACAATTTTTTCGAACAGAATTCATAAAAATCAAAAACAGCCTCCCGTTACAAGAAAGCATAAAATCTTACCAAAATTTTTGTAAATTGTTTCACCTCGTAAAGGCTATTTCAATCTCCTGATGATTGCAAGCATCCTGTAATTTTTTAAATTACATCGTCGTTTAGGGTCGGAGATGTTTGAACACGGGTAGATATATTCAAGCAAAGCTCTGGAACAGCCCTCCCTCTTTACGCCTCAGCCTTTGGCTGATATGCAACGCAGTTTCTGCAGAAGCAGTTGACAAAATCGTTTTTTTTTCACAGTTTTTGAAGTGTGATTAATTTTGTCAAATTACTCAAGACCAACCTATTGGACCCGTCTGTAAATTTCGAATATTTGAAGGAGTTTTCTCTTAATGAAAACAGAAGAGCTTTATAAAACCTGCATAGAAATTGAATTTATCATTTGAAAAGAGGAGGGGCTCAAGTGAAGCATGAGTAACCAAAATTCGTCACTGTTTATCCTAATTAGAATGGTTAGTTATTTGAAAAACTCCAGTTAGTCTTGGGTCGTTGTAAAGTTTGGAGAATGAATCGACGTTTGAGGTCGTTACACATTTTTTTACTAGGAAGCGGGGAGAACCAAATTGTTCTGAGTGATCCAAGGAAAGCCTTGATGATCAAATATTCTCAAATGAGTTTAAGTTTACAATTATGTTAAACCATAAAAAATCCAAGGATTACCTTGATCAGTCTGGTTTAAAAATTAGTTCATTATAGGACAAGCTTAAGTATTTAAGTTTACTAAGATAAAGTTTTAAGATTAGAAAAAGGTTATAAATTTAAGAAAAGATTGATTTAATGTTAAAAATTTAGGTGATAATTATTTTTTGAATGAGTGTAGTTATGTTTCATAATAAGAAACAAAGAAGCATGATTGGTGAGAGAATGAGGATATGAGTCCTTGAGAAGTTTCAAATTAATTTACTAACTAATTTTGTCTTTTCCAATTAATTTTAAATTTACAAAAATTTTAAAGTTACTGCAGGTTTTTGGAAATGAACGACATTTGTATCTTCTTGTCAGTTCCTAATAGATTATATTTTTGTTACTTGTCATTAAGAGGTATAGCTTGGAAAAGAATCTTACTGCTCCAAGTAAATTATTTCATGTGAGTGAATGAAATTGTACTGCATTGATAATCTTGCAGAGAAGTAGTCGTTGCAGTCTGCTTTCTCGCTTTTCGACGTAGATGCTCGGTCTAGCTTTTGAGCTTTAGTTTCGTTGGCATTGATTAGACTTATTGAGACGTGGAGGTAAGTTTCAAAGCTTCTTAAATTTTTTTATTATTTGTTTGGATCATAGATCTTGTGTTTACTTTGAATAGAGTAATTTCAGATAAGGTACACCGTCTGTTCGTCACGCAACATCAAGAACTGTTCTGGAGACGAACGACTGTTTACTATGTTATTTTCATTCTGTTTTGTTGCTGAAACAATGAATAGTTCAGCCTTACAAATTACTGTAAGTGTTAGTTATGGATCATGATTGGTTAGATAGAAAAACTTAACATAGATATTTTTATCAATAATATATTTGGATATAAATAGTAGTTTTCAACCCCCTTACCCCCTCCCTGTTTACCCCTCCCTGTTTATCCCTCCCTGTTTATCCCTCCCCCAGTTTACCTCCCCCAGTTTACTTAACATCCTCCCGTCAGTTTCCTTTACCCCCTCACCCCTGTTTCCTTCAACCATCACCCCCGTTTACTCTACCTCCCTCACCCCTCGTTTACCGATCTTCATCACTGCCAGTTTACCACAACCTCCATTCGCCCCCCCCCTTCTTGATGAACACGGGGGTTGGTTATTTGTTGGTAGACTTTGGGGTAGGGGTTAATGGTTGATACCTCCTAGTTTACCGCACCGGCTTTTTTTCCTTCCCCCTCCACCTGCAACATTTTACTGGTGAAATTTTGTTCACATCGTCCAAATGTTACAAAAATTTGTATGCGAACTAATTAGGTCATGAGAAACATATTTGAAATTCATGTTTAACCTTGTAAAACAACTCGTTACACCATGAAAAGGATGCTTATGCGTGGTGGGGGGGAAGGAAAAGGAGCCACCGCCCCTATTAAGTTGGGGGGAGATAGAAAAAATTGAGGGGGTGACATTGAGACATGGCATTTAGTAAAAGACATGGCATACATTTTGCAACATTCCCGCAAAACATGCAAAAATTCGGCAAAAAAATCGAAATTAGTGCTAAGAATAAAATGGATTTCAATCGATTATAATGGATTAGAGTGGATTTTGATTTCAAAAATAGTCAATAATAATGATTTATCATGGCAAAAATAATCGATTTCAGCGCCAAAAACATTGAATTAGATTCGATTATAATGGGTTTTAATGGATTTTTTTTCAAGCAAAATCGATTATAATGGAATTATTGTCGATAGAGTTTGACATCTTTAATGAATTATAATGGATTAAATTTGTCTCGGGAAACCATTACGATCAATTGGAATCCATGGGCGCTCGGTGCGGGCATCAACCATCCTTGCTAGCGCCTAAAGCTTGTTCACAAGTTGAGACGATAAAATCAGTAACTGAACTGTAGTAAAACGGGAAACTATTCCTTTTTTTGGTCTAATTGAACAGTCCAGAGCGGGTTCCTCCAGAAAAAACATAGCAACTCAAAACACCGGCGCGAGTGATTATAACGGTAAATCAGAATTGGATAGCGATTAGAGATCTGGTATTTGAGGATAACAAAATCCTATTCTCTAGCATACAAAACGAGAACTAAGTTTAATATGTTGACTTGTGTTGGAGTTTTTAACGACAGAAAGTTTTTGTTCACTTTTTTGTGGTCGAAGTAGCCTAAATTATGTTTATGGTTGTATATGGTTGAATTTCTTTCAAATTGCCATCGGAAGATTTACTAACCCCGGATAATATCATAAAGTATTGTTGTTGTTCCGGCTTTCGATACGAAAGTAACGGAATATTTGTGCTCGGGGTGGGTTTTTTTTCTTCAGACAAATTTCGACTTTTTACCTGGCCATTTTTGACGGAGATATCATTCAAAAAGTATTGCTGTCTTGAGCTTAAATTTGAAAAGATATTTCACCTGTGATCATTTTTTGTAAAGTTATGGGGGTTTAAAGATTGCCATTTTGGTCAATTTGGGACAATTAACGCGCGATAAAATTCGCGCTATAAACGCGTAAGCGGAGATTTAATCCGTCTTAGAAATCGTTCCAAAGTGGTTAAAAGAAGCTTATTTGCCATAATTGACCTGTTAAAAGGAGCGAAATCTATCCTTTTGTACTTAATATGGCGTGTGGGGGGATGATTTTCATTAAAAAATTCAAATTTCAGAAAAAAAAGTTTTCATTTTATTTTATTACCTTTAATTTTTTTTATAGGTTATTACTGCTCCATAAATATTAAAAGGCAGTCGGAACATTCAGGGCTTCGCCCTGATACGAGCAGTCTTGCTTCGACTTTCGATACGAACGTAACGGAATATTTGTGCTCGGGGTGTGTTGTTTTTTCTTCAGACAAATTTCGACTTTTTAACTAGCCATTTTTGACGGAATTTTTTTTACATCATTCGAAAGGTATTGCTGTCTTGAGCTTAATTTTGAAAAGATATTTCAACTGTGATCATTTTTCGTAAGGTTATGAGGGTTTAAAGGTTGCCATTTCGGCCACTTTGACCAATTTGGGACAATTAACGCGCGATATAATTCGAGCTATTAACGCGTAAGCGGAGGTTTAATCCGTCTTAGAAATTGTTCCAAATTGGTTGAAAGAAGCTTATTGACCATAATGGGTTTGTTTCAAGGAACGAAATCTATTCTTTTGCACTTTATATGGCGTGTGGGGGAATGATTTTCATAAAAAATTTCAAATTTTAGAAATAAATTTTCGTTTTATTTTATTTCATTTATTTTTTTTTATGTAATTACTGCTGCTCGATAAACCTTAAAGGCAGTCGGAACATTCAGGACTTCTCCCTGATACGAGCAGTCTTCGTTGTGTTTAAGCAAAGCATGTGTGCAGCATAGCAGCTACTGAAATTGCCACACATGGTGTTGAAGAACTTGAATTAGGTGCCCCCTCTGCTGATTGGGAGTCTCTCAACTTCTGGCTGCCTGTCGATAGGATAGAGATTGGAGCCATTTGTAAAAAATTTAGGCAAGTAAAAAAAACAAAGAAGATGACAGCTTTATAACTACTGGAGATGGATCTGTGAGCGCAAACTAATCATGAAAAAGAATTAGTCCGAAGCAAAATCAACCAACTGACTTAAGTTTTAGCCAGCAAAACGTTTTAACGAAGCTCTGATTTTCCATGATCGCTTTTATTTTCTTTAAAAATTTCCTTTCGAGTTCCGCAACCGCAAAATTATGGCCGTACACTTGCTAAAACCGGCGAAACAAATTTGGTTTAACCCGGTTTCACATAAAAAAGAGGTCGTTCCTTTTCATTTTGAAAAAAAAAACTGCTAATCACACAGTTCTTTACATTTGCATAGATCAAAAAATCTGTCAAAGTTAGCGTTTACAAAAGTTTTTTCGTGAAATTTTTTTTATTGCCAGCAGTTTTTCGGCGATTGGCTCAGATTTTTTCATCAAATTGAAATGTAGGACAGTGTGTTTTGCCTGAAACAATGTGCTGCTTTATGTTTTGTGTTTCTATCTAAAAAAAGCCTTTAAATTTCTCGAATCAGAAAACAAAAGCTAAAAGGGTAAAAAAATGATGTAACTACGATATCGAGTGAGGCCGAACAACCTAGCAGCAATTGTTTATTCCTTCGTTTTTTTACTTAGTAAAGGCCATGTTGACCTATATGAGATAACCAAGGCGCTCAATTTTACCTTATTTCTAATAATGCGCAGCTTAGAACGAGAGGGCTGCTCGGAAATCAAATCGGCTCGAATTGAGAACGAACAACTGATCTGAATTGTGCGATACTGCACCCAAGTTGTGCATTGCTTAAGAACCCGCACGGCAAAAATGGATTAGGATTGGTTTTATCTTTAAAAAAACTATGCAGGTTTATTTGAGACCGATTTTAGCCTGACAATAGGAACATTACATAGGAAAGCTTAAGGTTGATTTGGGTGTACATTAAATCTAATTAAATTGACCTTAGATCCCGGCGGAAAATTTGATCCGAATGAATTTTAAGTATTCAATCCAAATCGATTTCAAATCGATTTAAATCTATTTATTTAAGTCTTAATTTGGTTTCATATTTGGGGGATTAGACGATTAAATCAATTGAAGTCACTTTTTTCATTCGAACTTCATCAATTTCGATATTGTGTTGATATTATTCATTGCCCATCATTCTTCTTTTTACGTTCATAGCGTATGGTAGCAAAATAAAAAGATGAAATAATTTTTAAAACATTGATAATAGTTTATGATTTCCTTGCATGTTTCGAGCTCAACATTTGATCTGTATTGACCATTTTCTTGTTTTGCTACAATAGCTTTTGCCCATTATCTGATATACAATGATAATTTTTGATAATTTCTTTGCATATTTTCGAGCTCAAAATATGATTTTTGTGTACCATTTTCTTGAATTTTACAACATCAAACATGTGTCTTTTTTTTAAAAAAATTAGGAAGAAAAAATGCTTTTTTTTTCAAACTGCATGCATTTTTTTTCGCTGTGTTGGCAAAAAAAATTGAAGTCGCTTTCAAAATGATGTGTAGACAACAAAACGATCTTCGCATTCGCAGGGGTCTTTTAGAATGGAGTTCAAAGGATTTTAGTAAAATGTAGATGGATTTAATTGAGATTCCGATGGACTTAAAATCGGATTTTCAGACGCTGAAAATGATCCAAAAGTTTCAAGAAAGATTGATTTAAATCAATGTAAAAGCCATTTGAATCAATCCAAAACCAATTTTGTTAGTGCGGGAAAGGTTAAAAAATACATAATCAATAAAACTTAACTTATCCATAACATTTCACTTTTAATTAATTATAATCGCATCTTTAGTCCGACTCATTTCGGTAAAGTTTTTGTAATACCAATTTCTAAGTCAATTTCTATGTCAATGCGTTTTCTAAGCCAATTTTAGCAAACCACTTCAGTCCAGCAAACTACAATAGGACTTATAATACAAATCTACTGAACCCAAAGTTTCGCAATGACCAACTTTTCATCTGAATGTTGTTTAATTGGTATACGACACGATACAGCGAGCAATTATTTAAAAAATACAAGTAGAAAATAAAGAACATTCAATCTAATGAAACTTTTCTACGCTTCTGTTCCTTAAAAACGCATGCTCAAGAGATCATAAGGCTTCTCGAAAATTTCTGTCCATTTTCCGCACAATGTGAACTTCAAATTGTTTAAGTGATTTCTATTGTCTGGATTCTTACGTGACTCAGATACCACTGATGAATAAGCAAGAAAAAACTGCTGAATGGAAACGTTCTGCAACTGAGAAAAGGCATGAGTTCGAGCAACTAATTGTTCTGCAGTGGAAACATATCAACATGCTCAACGAATTCAAACCAGGTTGAGTTTTAAGTTTCATCAATCCTCCATCCTTTGAAAATTAAGAGAACACAAAGAAAAGTTATCCGTTCAGTGTTCAAAAAAAGTATAAAAAAATCAATTTCGAAAGTAAACAAGACTGCTCGTATCAGTGCGAAACCGTGAAGGTTCCGACTGCCTTTTAAGGTTTATGAAGCAGTAATAGCATGAAAAATTGAATGTAAAATTAAAATAATTTTTTTTTTAAATTTGGATTTTAAAAAGTTATCCTCTCCACTCGCCATATAAAGTAGAGAGTGATAGATTTCGCTCCTAGTAATAAATCAATTGAGACAAATAAGTTTCATTCAACCAACTTGGAATGATTTTTAAAACGGATTAAATCTCCGCTTTCGCGTTAAGGGCGCGAAATATATCGCGCGTTAATTGTCCCAAATCGGCAAAAATGGCGATCTTGAAACGTCCATAACTTTACCAAAAATGATCAGAGGTGAATTGTCAAATATTAAGTTTTCGCGATTTTTTCTGTTTTCGCGATTTTTTCTTACAACTAGAATATATGAGTTTAAATTTACGAAAAAATAACAAATCTTTTGTGATAAAAATTACAGCTTCAAATGTGTTCTCTCATCTTGAAATAGAAATGAGCTTTGATAAAATTGCAACTGATTGAGTTTGAACGCAAATCCATGGAAAATACCTGACAAAAACAGCAAGATGACATAAACTTCCAACATATATACTTGTTTTCTTCGTGAAAAGTTCAATTTAACAACAATTTGATTGTGATAAAAATTGATGAAGAGAAAAAATTTGATGAAAAATTTTTTTTTGACAAAAAAAAACATTTCACTGAGGCAAACTATAGGGCTACTGAAAATTGTTTGAAAAAATAGGGAGGTACATTTCTTACAGATACTCAATTGACTCTTTTTTGGTTCTTCTTTACTCTAAACAAACAATAAAATAATTCTTAAACTTCTAGTGAAGGTATCTAGGTTATCAAAAAAAAGCGGAGGATTAAAAACAAATAAACAGCATAGTGTTAAAAGTTGAGTGGCGCGTTTCACTCACCTTATAGTAAACCAAACCTATGTCAAATCTAATTTAAAAAAAAATTTTCGAATTATGACTGTAGTGATATTTTTGTTTTGTTGTTTTTCAGGAAAATGTCTTAAATTTTGTTCACGCTCAGTTTTTTTTGCGCGATTTTGTTTTTAAATTGGCTTCACTCCTTCTGTTGAAAAAACACAATTTCTCATATCGATTAGCAAAAGGAACGATCGTAAATAACGTGATCGACTTGACGTCTAGTTTCGAAGGTGTAATAATTTACAGAATTCTCAGCGGATTATGAATATGCTTTTTGATGCAGTTTACTCAAATTTATTTATTTTAATAGAAGGAAAAACAAAAAAAGCTTCATGAAACTGAAAAAACATTAAAGGCCGTTGATTTTTTCCATATTAATCGCTTCGCAAAATGATTTTTCTAAATAAAATATTCAATCCTTTTTTTCTGTTTCCTTGCTTTCATAACACTTTTCCAACTGTCGGTTGCTTGTGTTTGTATTGCAGCCCGAGAAAAAAGTGAAACTCCGGAAAATGATTTAAAAATAGTCCTAGTCTGACAGTTTAATTCTCGTGCCTAAACAACTTTTACGCATTTTCGAAAAATTTGAGAAACAAAACGAACGAAAATTTAACAACTTTGTCAAACATACATTTAGCATTCAAATAATTTGTATAATTTTCAGGATTTTTGAACGTTTTTAACAACAAAACTTTAGTTCCTTTAGGCGATTGCTGTGAATTACAAGTGGACAAATATGCTATTAACGGTCTCGACAACAAAGATATGAGTCCACAAGCGTACTTCAATCTTATTTCTGATTATACGAATGACACAAAACCACTCAATAACATCGCGGTTAGTTTAAATGTCACTTCAGTTCAATTTGGATTACTTCACTTTGTAATATGGGAGCTTGGTTTACGCAGCTTAAAAAAAGTATACAGCTTCGAAGCCTTTAAAATCATTTTTCTTTTGAATGAATATTCCAGGATATTTGGATTGCCTTCAACTTTACTCAGACTGAAACCAAAATCAAATTCAACGGGCCTTTTTTCATATATGGAAAGTGTATGACTAGCACTTTTTATCAATTAGAAATCCAGCAAAATGAGGCAAAAAAACAACTGTAATTCCCATCCCATACGACGAGCAGTCTCTGAACAGAGAAGAAAGAACCAGGGAAAATTTGTTTTCTCTAAGTCAATTCTCCTCACACACTGAGAAAGCAGAGCATTTCTTAATCTTATCTTAGGGGGAAATCTTATATATGGAAATTGTATGATTAGCATTTTCTTCATATTATTTTTTTTCCTTTTTTTATAAAGAGATACCAATTTCGATAACATCAAGCTTCAAGTTGTTACACAATATTTTTCTCTAAATTGAAACTTGAAGTCTTTCGTAGAACCGCCTAGAATCGTCAGGCAAAATCGTCAAAATTGTTCAAATTGTCTCAAGCGACAATAAGCAGCATGAAAAGAAGCGACAGTTCATCGCAGATCATGTTGTCAGACTAATTAGTTAGGAGATCGAATTCTTCGAGAAATGCGCACAAGAAGAAGCCATAGTTTAACAGATAAAAGTCAATTTTGAAGAGTTTAAAAACGTAGAATTTTCTAGTTTATCTGACATCGATGAACGTTTGCTTAAGATAGATCAATTGTCGCCTGCAATGATTTTTTGGCCATTCACCATAGAATATAGAGTGATATAAGAGAAAACACTTTTTAATCAAACAGGAGTGTTTTAGGCTACCTATTTCGAAGATGTTTGCCACAACGTAATTTCAGGAATTGGTTTTGGTCCTGGTGGGTTGAGAAGGGACCACTTTGCGAATGTCAGAGTGGGGGTTTCGTATTTAATTCCAGGGCAACATTTAACCTTTGGAATCCCAGGAATTCCTTCAATGATAATCGATTACTACAATCCAGGATCTCAACTTACATTCAAATGGTTCAAAGACCATATCATGTGTCAAGAACACCCTTCCATCTGCGGTCATCATAGTCCAAGAAGGAAAGAAAGAATAAGGGAAATGAAAAAACATTACAAAAAAGCTGGCGGAAAAAAAGCCAGGCGCAAGAAAACTCAAAACAGAGTTTGACACACGTACATGACAGGACGCGATCGCTTTGATTTTCATTTTCAAGAAATATCACCATTTTTAATCTTTTGAGAAGATAGAAATTGACGAAACTGTTTAACTATTTTCTGATGTTCGCGTGATTTCTTGGAATTGCCATAATCACTTACAGCCTTCGAATAATAGAATTTGAGTAATATAAATAAATCAAAAACCCCAAAATGTACAATTAATAATATATTCGACCCTCTACCGACCCAAAGGGTCCCCCTTTGTACTATTCTGAGATATCCATATTTGGTGACGGACCCTAAGGTTTTTTAGGCGCCTTTGGTGCCAATATATAATAATTTTGAGGAGCGCGCGCCAAAAAAACGCAACTTTTTGGTCAAAATTTTCCAAAAAAATGCCTAAAAACGTTTTTTTTTGGCGTTTTTAGAAATTTTTAGTGATTTGGGAGAGCTCGGAAAATCAATTTAGTCGACTTAAAAAAGTGTTCGACAAAATTTTCCAAATTTTTGAAAATCCCACCCCCCTCAACAAAATCCTAGATCCGCCCCTGTTATATTGGATATACTATTTTGGTTATACATTTTTGAAAAACGTTTCCAAATTAATTGAGCAAGGTAACTTATAGTTACAAATTAGCTAACAATAAAGCAACCTTTTTAAAACACTCAAAAAAAATGCATCCGCTCCTCTAAATCCGGTCAATCATATAATTAAACTTTTTTGTGCTTTTTTGCGAAACGAACAGTTTTTTGCTTTATTTGAGTTGTTTTCAAACATCTACCAACCTAATGATGTTATTTCTAAACTAAGATATCAAAAACAGTTTGATATTCGGAATAAAAAATCAAATAAAATTGCATGAAGGCACAAGCTGAGAGACAATTCTCACAAAAATTCACAAATTGCAAAATTTCTTTTCAACTTTGCATA